AGAGAGAGAGAGGGAAAGGGTGAAAAAGCAAGCCGCCAGGTCTGGAACTCCAACCACAGTCGGCCATGTGAGAATCCAGTGTCTTTAACCACCACGCCCCCTGCCGGCCCTCCAGTTGATTCTGATGCCCACTGAAGTCTGAGAACCCATTTCTCAGAAGGAGAGTTTCTTGTCTTTACAAACTATTTCCTGTCATTTAGTAAACAGAGCTCAAAATATCTGAGGCTTCAGCTCTACCGATGTACAGACCCAGCCACTAGCCCCAGAAATCTCTCTTTTTCCAGGCTTCATATCAAGTGCCCAGCAGCTGTACAACGCCAAGTCTCACAGCACCTTCAAGAGCTGACGGTGCAGTGGGAAACAAAACCCTGGAAATGATTTGGTCTCAAATAATCTGTTCACCTGCCTTTTTCCCCTGCTACATAAAATTAATATATTAGGTTGTCAGGAAAGTTATGATGTATCTTTCTATGTTGTTCTATGCAAAAATGTGTCATGACTTTCCTAACAACCCCATAGTTGCATTGTGATTTTGGTTTTTTAGGTATTTGCCACAGGGTGGATGAGCTCACTGGAAAGACAGAGAAGGAAAGTGAGAAATCACCCTCCAGAGGAATGGCCACAATCCTTTCTCCTCCATTCTCCCCTAGGAATTTGGGGCACACATGCACACGTTCCTGGCACAATTTTCAAGCCTCCAGGTCCAGGACTCAAACCATGGTCAGCCACGTGGGAATTCAGTACCTTAATCACCATGCCATTTGCCTATCCCAGTAATATAGTTGTTTTTAACTGAGGGCCAGGTCTTAAAGTGTGCTAGGCACTGGAGTGCAGTCCTGGTTCTCTGTTGGGAGCTTAGATTTCTTGGAACCTCAAATTTTCAGCTCTAAACTGAGGAGCTCAGATGATCTGCCCATAATCGCCCTTCCAGATCTGACCATCTGTGACTAATTGACGTTAAATGAACTTTTCGTTTCAGAGTACTGAATGCCCTCATTGCTCATTAGATTAGTAACTTTCACTGGACACTAGGGTTGGCTTAATGAATCTAGCTGTGGGTTTTGTCAAATAACTTATTAAAGAAGCATTTTGTCCACTTTTCACAATGCATTTGAGTGAAATGAATTCATTGAGATATTGGAGCACATACCGTCAAGAACGCATTACTGGATTACTACACTCCCAGGAGACCAGGGAGGGTTTGGCATCAGGGGGAAATCTTATTCTGTGGGGCAGCTTCTGTCCGGAGGGGACATGGTGATGAATACTGCAACATGATAACTCTCACCCAGAAAACACAGCCTGCAGTCCAGGGCTAAGTCTCCACTCCTGTCCCAGGGTTCTAACTCAAGCTGATTCTACTTCAAAGAAAAGAAAGCTTGTTTGGCCAAATACCCAAGGATCGTCGGTTTCAGGAATGTGACATGCTGCTAAACCACAGCCGTGTAACTTGTGGCTGCCAAGATTTCCAAGGATGGAAGTTTCACTCTTCAAAGAAAAACATGGCAGCAGGTAAGTTGGAGAAACATAAAGTAGACGGTGTCGATTGGCCCCAAGAAGCCTTCAAGGAAAGCCTACTACGTGTATGTGCTGGGATGGGCGGGGACGTGCTCAGGAATGGACTTAATTGACAAGATTTGAACTTGAATGATGAGCCACAGTTCCTCCTGCCTTTAGGAGCTTTTCGGGAAGCAGAGAAAAAGCATGATTGGGACAGCCAGAGTCCAACGTCAGCCCACGGCATGTGGAAGGCTGAGGAAGGAGCAGGGTATGACCCCAGAGACCAGCAAGTGACCGGTCAGCGTGAGGTGCTGGGGAGGCCCAGGAAGTTGCTGGAGATACACAGGAACTGGAGCGGGGAGCACCAAGTCCCAGAGTGGAAGAGGATTCCCCGCAGCCAGCACGGGCCATTCAGCACCCTCTGAATCCCGACACCCCACCACCACTCGGAGTTCCCCTGCCCATCTGACAAGGTTTGGGAGAATGGACACCAAGGACTTCTGAATGCCCCTGGAAGAAGGCACAGGGCTGCCCTATGTCAGTAGATTGGGGTTAATGCATTTCTAAGTAAAGTAGATATTTGAGGAACTGAATAAATACAGAATCCCATTTCAGAGAATCGCAATTGTTTCACTTTGGAAGGGAATTGGGGTCATTTAATCCAGCCTCTTCCTCCATGCCATGATCCCTACGGCAGCGTAGTTATCCAGCCTCTGCTTGGATGCTTCCATGGACAGGCAGCTTGCTGTCTCACAAGGTTGCCTGTTTTGTCACCAAAGGGCTCCTGTAGTCTCAAACTGTGTTCCCCATATGGGAATAACCTCTCTCGCCTTCTACCTTACCCTTCTAAGAGCAAGCTCTGTCTTTCAGAACAGGTCTGAACCTGAATTTCCTACAATGGTCCCTTAACTGTTCTCCCTAAATATCCCCAGCTCCTCTCACGGTGCTTTCATGGGATGGCTCTTAGACCTGGCTGAGGTCATGTGAACACTGACTAGTTTGCCTATGTTTTTTGAAGACCGTGTTCCCTCAAAACTAAGAGCAGTTTTCCAGGAGGAGTGAGAACAGCACAGGTGGATGGGGGCAGCGTGGGCAGTACTGGAAACCTGAATACTCCAGAGGGTGGCTGCTTCAGCAGCTGGGACATGCCCCACGTCAACCCAGCCTGGGGTGAATCTTACAAAGGAGCCAGCAGCCTCGATGAGGCCTGATACTAAGCACTCGCTAAGCCCAGGGTAGTCTGTAGCCTCTCACCCTCTGGGACAAAAGCAGGCCCTGGGCAAGAGACTGTGGACATGGGATTTCACAGACACTGGTGGGAAAAACCACTGGGCCCCGACCTTGGCATTGAAGGGAGAAGCTCGCCCCCTGGTGGACCTCTGGAAGGTGGCAAGATCCAAAAAGCACTGAAACCAGACGAAGGGTGTGGGGGGGTCCTACTTTGCCAGTCCCTTCCGGTGGCCTGCAAGATAATTGATCTGCACCGTCACAAGGTAAAGGGGAGGCCAGGACTTGAAAGGAAGTTAAGAAGTGAAGACCCTGGGACTAGTCTGGCAAACTAGAAAGCAACCAGGTGAGAGTAATTAGCACCTTGAAAAGAGGAGGAAAACAGGCATCAGGCCTTTCCTGGTTCACCACTTCCTATTTGGCTCCAGGCAAATCACAGTCCTTCTCTGAGCCTCCAAGGGCATGCTGGAGGAAGACCCCAGCCCTCTGAATGTGGAGGCAGCAGGTTTTCATGTCCCTGCCCCACCATGATCCCTCACTGCTTGCACCACCCCTAGCTGAAGAGAAGGCATGGGAGGTGACAAGGGCAAAGGACACTGTGGAAAGGGAGGCAGTGCCCCAAAGCAACCAGGTTGGCAGATTCACCCAAAGCCCTGGGGTGCACAGCACCCCCCACCACTGCGCCACACCTTGGGGAGCCCCGTAGGGTCATTTCCCACGGTGGTTTTCCCTCCTTCCAGTTTTGGCCAAGTCTACATTTCTCCATCAGGCAGGGTATGGACACTGGCCCGGAGGGACCTATGGTCTACAACATGCTTGTCCCAATAGATGTGGCCCTGGCCCATTTTACACCCAGTACGGTGGCTTATAAACATCCCTTTCACCTCACACACTTCTAAACTGCCTTTACTCGGCACTCTCATCATCAAAGATTGTACTTTTAATCTATTTCTGAGGTAAATTTTATACACTACTCTGTACCATGTTTGCTCAGATTGGTGGCTCTCCACATGTACCTGATCAGTAAAATTGGGCTAAATGCTAGCTTGGGCAATGCAACATGAAAGCCCCTTCCTGGAAGCTTTCCATATAAAAAAAGAAGGTGAGTTTTTAAAATGGAATCAACGTGGGTCAATGAGGTCACCGAAGGCATTGTTTCTAGAGGCGAACCTTCGAAAAATGGCCTCCTATAAATGATCTGAAATAATGATGCCCTCAGGCTAGTGTGCTCCTAGCTGGAAAGATCCACAGTGCATGTGGGAAGAGAGGTCATCCCTGTACCCTGCAGTGCAGAAAGGCCTGGGCTCAAACGATGTCTGACTGTAAGTTCTTATTTTTTAAATGGCATTATAAGGTTACTATAGGGCATTATAAGTTATTATGTAAACACTCTAGAAATGAGAGAATTCCAACAATAGGTACAACCCCCATTCTACCTAAAACACTAAAGTCAGGTGGAAAGTGTAACTCTAATTGCAGACAGAACCCCTTTCAAACACTCATTGAGACCACCCGGTTCCTGCAACATTGCCACATTCTAAAATTGTAATGAAAAATTTAAAGTCCAAAACCTACAAGCCATCAGAGGTTCAGTAAGCAGATTGTGCCATTTCAAAATGGAAAATGTGCTTGCGTAAGCAAGTCCCCGGGGCCCGACCTTTCTGGACTGGGAGTCTGGCCTTCAGTTCAGGACGTGGCTCTGCCAGGGTCAGAAATGTGACAAAACTGCGCTTTCACGGAGGTTAGCCAAGGTTCACAGGGTCATGACTGGGCCATTTTATCAGTCATGTCAGGCTCACACCCTATTGCCTGGGATAGATAAAAACTTTATCTGTCAGTTCACTAAATCGGATCCTCCTGCCTCATTTGGAATAAAGAAAACCTGGGCTCCTTATCTAAACCAGAGACAGTGCCTTCCCCAATACTGTTTTCATATGCAACTTCTCAGTAAAGGTGACCGTCAATGAGGTGTGCTCTTATTTTAGTCAAGAACTGCCCACAACTGGAGTGACTAGCTTTGTCTTATCTAAAACCTTAACTTCAGAGAGCAGTTCTGGCACTGTCCGGCAACATGGATTTATTACGTTTATTAACTGTTAGATGGGCTGATAGTTCTCAAAGTAGTGCCTTCTCAGATTCAATTTTTCCTAAAGTAAAGCAAAAAATCTACAACAAAGGGAATCTAAGTAACCTTAGAACGATTTACGGAAATACCTTTGGAATAACACATACGTGCATATCTTCCCTGAGCAGAATCTCAAACACAAGAAACATACCTTTCAATTTTACTTTATTTGGAAACTATACAAATTCATTATTTTAATATTTAAAGACCATGGTACTGTAGTAGAGACACATAAATATTATAATATACACTTAGAAATTAAATAAAGTCAACACGACACTATATAAAAACTCATCTGTACATGTCAAATAAGTCTGAGATTTGTGCCCATCAGATTTCCCCCTGGAAATGGGTGAATCTTGCCGGAAGATTGTCCACAGGGTACACAGTGGGGCTGGTTTTCATTGTAGGAGGTCCATTGAGGAGCTGCCAGTCACAATGCCTGGCCAGCTCCACTGTAAATATTTTGAGAAGAATTTTTGCAAACTCTTTGCCTACACAGCTCCTAAGGCCTCCTCCAAAGGGAATGAAGCTGAACCTGGATGCATCTTCTGGGTGAGGAAGCATAAATCGGTCAGGATTAAATTCCTCTTTGTTGGTGAAGATATCTGCCACATCGTGAGTATCACAGATACTGTAGATAACATTCCAGCCCTTGGGAATCTGGTATCCCTGCAAAAGATTATGAAGTCCCTGACAAACTGGAATTTAACTTTTAGAAAAAAAAAATCTATCACTGATATCTTTAGGGAAGTCAGAAGTTCAAAGAAAGAGAGAGAGAGTCAACTTGTTAAACCATGTGGACACGGGACAGGACAATGTTATCAAAAGCATACAAAATGTAAGCCACTGCACAGGAAAACAAGGAGTGATAGGTTCAAAACCACAAAAAAAAAGGGGGGGGTGGGAAGAGAACTTTTTAACTTACATTTAATTCAAAAGTCTTAAGAGCAACCCGAAACCCTCCTGGAACTGGGGGATTCAGTCGCAGAGTCTCCTTAATAACACACCCAATGTATTTAAGTTGTTCCAAAATTTCCACGTCCAACTTGTTGTCTTGATTGCTCTTGCAAAGTAAACCCTATCAAAACAGTCATACAGAGGTGAACGGTTATTTTGTGCTCCAATAAAATCAGCCCAGCAGACATAAACAGGGCTTAAGTGGCGACTAAACCCAAAGGGCCCCATGATGGGAGAGTGCAAGGGGGAAACAGCAGCGATGGCCATTTGCTGCCACCCCCTTAGCCCAAATCCACCATCTATTTACAATTCCAAGAGAATGTGGCCCACTAGTTAGGAGGGACCAGCTCCCCCCACCTCCCTTCACAACCAACACCCACACTGGTCAGCTATTCGGAGGGGCCAACTATTCATGCATGCTCTTGAACACACAAATAAATCTAAGACAGTGGGTCTACTGGAAAAGCTCGGAGGTTCTGTAAAAGGTGGGAATACAAAGTCAAACCTCGCCCAAGTAGGATCACAGCTCAAGATTGCATTGTATTCACAATGCTGATTTTCTCCCGACCCACCCAGCCCTTGGCCCTGCTCTTGTAAGCACAGGTAGCAGACTCACTGAAGTCTGGTGGTGACCAGCTGCATTTCCTAAGCTAGCAGGAAGCTCCCAGAGAACTCCTACCTTACTCTTCAGCTCCTCTCGAACTTTCTGGAGTACATGGGGGTAGAGCCCCAGGTAAGTGATCAGAGAAGTAGCTGCACTAGCGGTGGTTTCATGTCCTCCAAAGAGGAGTTCGGTTGAAGATTGCTTTAGTGCCTAAGAACGGAGTAAGACAGTTTTTCAAGTCCACACTCAGTTTTACTGAGCGAACCCAACCGAGGATCCTGGAGGGATGGCTAGAAGGGCTACACAGTGTTGCTGATAGTCAAGGAAAACAACATAAAAATAATTTAAAATAAAATTTAAAAAACCCTCCGAAGTCCCTCGAGTTGAGTCTAGCTCTACTGGGAACTCCTGTATAAAGCTTTAGTTTTATTAAAATTGTCCACGGTTATTACCAATTTTGAAAACTCCAGCTTTCCCTTTCAAACCTGGAAAGGCGCGGGATCGCTCCCAGTTCCTCACCTGCCTCCTCCGCAGCTCTCCAGACCGGCAGTCTCAGCCTTAGCGATCTCATCGCTGGAGTCCAGCGGGCT